GTTGTAGGGACCCTTAACGCGGCGGCAGCTCGCTTTTTCCGTCAGAAAAATCCCCAATGGAGCCTCTGGAGCCGTCCCTGTCCCTGTCCCTGTTCCTGTCCCTGTCCCTGTCCGTGTCTCTGTCCCTGTCCCTGTCCCTGTCCGTGTCCCTGCCCCTGTCCCTGTCCGTGTCCCTGTCCGTGTCTGTGTCCCTGTCCATGTCCGTGTCCATGTCCCTGTCCACATCCGTGTCCGTGTCCCTGTCCGTATCCCTGTCCGTGTCCGTGTCCCTGCCCCTGTCCCTGTCCGTGTCTGTGTCCCTGCCCCTGTCCCTGTCCGTGTCTGTGTCCCTGCCCCTGTCCCTGTCCGTGTCTGTGTCCCTGCCCCTGTCCCTGTCCGTGTCTGTGTCCCTGCCCCTGTCCCTGTCCGTGTCTGTGTCCCTGCCCCTGTCCCTGTCCGTGTCTGTGTCCCTGCCCCTGTCCCTGTCCGTGTCTGTGTCCCTGCCCCTGTCCCTGTCCGTGTCTGTGTCCCTGCCCCTGTCCCTGTCCGTGTCTGTGTCCCTGCCCCTGTCCCTGTCCGTGTCCGTGTCCCTGTCCATGTCCCTGTCTGTGTCCGTGTCCCTGTCCCTGTCCATGTCTGTATCCCTGTCCGTGTCCCTGTCCGTGTCCCTGTTGGTGTCCGTGTCCCTGTCCCTGTCCATGTCCGTATCCCTGTCCGTGTCCGTGTTCCTGTCCCTGTCCGTGTCCCTGTCCGTATCCCTGTCCGTGTCCATGTCCCTGTTGGTGTCCGTGTCCCTGTTGGTGTCCGTGTCCCTGTCTGTGTCCGTGTGTGCTCCTCCCCGCTGCCTTGTCCATGCCGTGCCAGCATCCGTGCGATGAACAGCTGGATATAAACGGGATCTTTCCATAAACACCCGACTGCGCTGGGTGCGGAGGGTGCAGAAGGGGTAGCGGCGGCGGCGGCAGACCCCTCTCTTTTGAGCACTGGTTTGCAAAGCCTTTGCACGGTGGAATATGCTGTGTTTGACTTTCTGCAGCGCTTAAGGCAGTTACGGTGGGAACAAACCTATGGCAAAGGGTGCGTACGTGTGTCCAAGAGCTGGCCAGGTCTACGTTGCGGCCACCAGAAGTCACTAGAAGTGACGCTTGAAGCGTCAGCGCCCAAAAGTTTCTTTTGCCACATCCAGCCCCTGCCTGCATTAGGAGTCACAGTGCAGGATTAACGCTGTTCGTAAGTGCCACCGAAGCGTTTTGGGTAAAGAAATACCTTATGCTCTGCGCGGTTTAAATTTTGCGCCTCTTAAAATGAGATAAATATGCCCTTTAATACCTGATCTCGTTTAAAAACAAAATTGAAATCGAGAAGTAGGGCTTTTTATCTGTTTGCCAGTGCTTGGCTACTTGGCAGGCTGTACTTAAATAACATTTGTAGAAGGCATGGTTTGAGGTTTCGGTGCTGAAAGCCCGTCTAGCCAGTGTTGCAGTAATTCCGTATTGCTCCGCTGAACTGGATAATACAAGAGAGCAGCTCTGCCCATACTTGTTTGGTGTTAGTTTTCTTGTGCCTGTTTCAGGATTGTCTCTCATCTCTCGCCACAATATTTTTCATACACCCTTCTTGCTCCTTAACTTTTTTTGAGGTTAATGATTGGGGTTTAGGCCTTCAAATCAGGGTCTGACAAAGGAATATTTTCATACCAAGTGCATTTGAGAAACGTCGGTGGGCCAGAGAATGTTTCAGAGCTATAATAACAGATCCCCATTTGGCAGGAGGTGGTTAACAAAACCAGATACAAAGATGCCTTGAACTGAGTGGTAAGGATTCAGAGTGACCTTTGCTTTCTAGCCCCAAAAGTTTCCAGATCCCTATGCATTTGCTAGTATTCTGCTCTCATCCAATGTTTATCACCTTGGAAAACTTCGGAGACTCTGGAAGTCTTGTCGTGGTGATGTGGAACCTTCTTGGGGACTTAGGGAGAGCTGACAAAGGCCATAAAGTCCTTTCTCGCTCAGGACTTCAGCCACCCCTTGTTGCCCCTCCTGAAGGTTTGTGGAGGGAAAAGCATTTGTAGATGTCTCTCCCATCTAGTAAAATTAGGCAGGGTCTGGAGCAATATGAGATGGCGTCGTTATTATTGTGAAAGAACTTAAGGGCAAAGTTCCATCCCTGCCCCCGGACTGTGTGTTTGTAAGGCAACACGGTGTATGTAATTTAGCAAATAACATGGATAACCAACAGCCTGGCCAAAAGGGAAGAGAAGAAGCTCTTGTAGTTTGGTCAGGTCCCTGAGCCGGTCTGCAGCAAAGCCTCGTCACCGGCTCTTGCTGGCGCCGTTTTGGAGGAGACAGAGGGACAGGAATCAGTGGGCAGGGTGAGCGTCGAGGCCTGCTTTGCTGCCGGGAAGATAAGCTTAGGAATGTGAGATTATCCTTAAAAGAGCTAAGGGTCTTTTTGTTTTACAAGCGTTGTTAGCATTTAATGAAGACTCAAACTTAACAGTCCGTAAATTATTGCCATTTTGGAGAGTTCGATGAAAACTACTGGCCTAAACTTAAATCTGTCACCTGAGTAGTTAGGACTAATTCTGCAGTGAGTGCATGGAGCACACCTGTTCTCCATAAACATATAAATCAGCTAAAGCATCCTCATTTTTGTTAAAAAAACTCGTAAGGGTTCACATGCTGTATCTGTTAGTAGCATTCAGCTTTTTTTGAAAAAATATGTACGACCAAAGTAAAAAATGTTGAGTCAACGGATTAAGAATTGGTTTGGGTTAAACTGAATTACTTGCTGGGATCAGTTGAATGATGATTAAACGAAGAGTGAAACCCAGCGACGAATATAGCATACACCGCATGTATACAAGGGGTCAGCTCCAAGCATTTATTCCAAACCTGGGTACAGGACCTTCCCCACAGTACCAGCTCTGTTACTTTTCAGACCCCTGAATATACGAGACCTCTTGAGATGTGTATTTTTAGGGACTGTGATGTTCCCTCTACACTTAAAAACCTGAAGAGAGGGCGTTTGGGATGTGTAATAGTCAGCGGCTATTTATTCCTTTGAGGAAAGAAGTTCTGCTTCTCGCAGAATCACAGAATGGCAAGGGTTGGAAGGGACCTCGGGAGATCATCCAGTCCAACCCCCCTGCTAAAGCAGGTTCTCCTAGAGCATGTTACACAGGACTTTGTCCAGGCGGGCT